CACCATGCGACTGCATGGGGTGCCTCAAAATAAATTAAGACCAGTGAGGTCAGTGTAGCTTTCTTTTAAAAAGCGTTATTAATCATGACAGACAAGAAAGTATTTCGAATAGCATTTAGCAATTTGAGAATGAACCACAATAAAAAAATTATGGGAAGAACACTGTCAACTGATGTCCTCGGGCCGCGCGCGAGAAGTCGGCGCGCCTCTTGTTTGAGACCCCTGACCTAGAGTATATCACCATGCGCGTTAAATTTGCTTTGGAAGTGAATTTGAGAGCGAAAGCGAAATAGCAGCGAAAGCTATTCCTCTCTGTTACGCTCGAAACAAGCTGTCGCACTTGACCTAGTGTGAGCTTTAAAGTTTGATGGAAGCCCGTATGGTCGGGCTGATACATGGTTTGAGGTAAAAAACCTGAAGGCACCGCGCTGACCAACGTAAAAGTTTAAAAAGAAAAAAAAACACACAAAATGAACGTTTCAGCTTCCACACGGAAGCCTTGTTCACAGTGAAATGAAAACATGTGTAAAACAGTTCGCCTTATGTATGTTTCAGTATATCACGCAGGCAGCACGCACATACTGACGGCAGATTGCCATCGTTCCTGTTTAATGTGCGCGGAGTGGTTTGTATCACGAGTGACTCAAGATAAAGACGCCGTGACAGTCCTTTTTCTCTAGTGTGACAGACCTAGTGTGAACGCTCCACTGCCATTTGTTCTGCAGGCGGTTACAACGGCTACAAACAAATTGCGGCATCGGCGAGCGTAGGCGTTTTCCGTCGTAGCGATTGCAGCACAATGAAGTGGCGCACAACCAACTGTGTCTCCACTCTGCGCGGATGGAGGCACTCAATACTATTTAACAAGTAGCGACGTAACAAGCTCTTCCTTTTCCTTCGATTCTTATACAGACCGAAAAAAAAACGATCGGGTAAGGTACACTTTTGTTATAGTTATTTAGTATCGATAGCAATCTCTCTGCTTGATACGGAAGGGTGCGAAGCTCGGAGAGTGTATATGACCGCAAACTGAGGGTGGTGGTTTCAAAACAAGAACGTTATCGCCGTTACCAAGGATGACGTGTTGAGGAAAAAAGATGGGTGTGAGGTTTATTGACTTTCTTTGTTGTCGATTTCGCGGGCGACCGAGCGTAACTGGCACGGGGTCGTACCACTTTTGATTCGTGGCAAAAGAAAATGCGAAGGTGCAAGGATAGCAATAAATGACGCATCACACGTTCAATAGCAACAGTGGTGCTTGATAGGGCGTAGCGAAAGAAAACACACTTGAGGACACGTAAAATCGGAACACGTTATTATAACCGACCTTGTGCGCAACCCCAGCAGACCTTTCATTCCGTTTATTCTCGTGCAAACTCCCGCATCTATTTTTTGCCCGAGTGTGCTAATGTTGTAAAAAAGCGCACGAACAGCAAGTTGAATATACACCAACATTAAAAACCTTAAAACAATAAAATAGTGTTTTTTATTCGGGGGAGGTACTCTTTGTGCAACGCTCTCAACTTGATACACCTAATTTTCATCCCCCGGCCACACTTTGCTAATCTCGGGAATAGTAATAAGAGTTGAACAAGTTAATAAATACACGCATATGCCTCGACCACGCGGTCTAGTGGCTAAGGTACTAGGTTTTGGGCGGTTCCTGTGCTGGAAGCTTATGCTGATGTCGTGTGAACCGCCGAGGAGACCTTCCTCGACAGTCCGGAATGTCTGCAGCACGCGCTTTGAGGACTACGGAAGCAGTTTCAACAGGTACAGTGGTGAGCACTCTTAGGGTGAACACGCGAGCGCGGTCTAATTGCGGGCCAACGACACTATCAGCGCCACGTAACAGCCATCGTTGGAAACATTGCACATGCGCAGCATGTGCTTTGCGAAACACTCTTTCCACCATGCGCATCACGTCATCGATACGCTTGTTCGTCGTCTGCTAGCCGCATTTTTTGTTCGCTGAGCTGATACCTTCTGCATTTCAAGGCCCATCTGGATTGAAGATGGGTGCGTGAAGGAAAAAAGTGAGTGTAAGAGGGATAATTATTAAACTTTTTATTCAAAAAATTGCACTTTTGCAATTCAAGTTAAACAAGACCATGAGACAAATATAAAAACATGAGCAAATCTAATAGCGAGTCATGTGACCACTTACAGCAATGACTGCAGCTATTCTGGACGGTAACTAGTCGTAAAGGGATCGAACATATTCCCGATCGGCTTTCAGCCTTTCCCACTCGTTGCTGACTTGCGCCCACAACTGGTCCGAAGTCACGGAATAATGTGGCTTCCTTGCCAAAGAAGCTTTCAGACGGCCCCACACGTTTTCGTTCACATTCAGGTCCCCTCCTTTTGGAGGCCATTCCAGTAGCTGCTTGTGCTGCTCCGCCTGGAACTCCTTGACAGTCCGCGCCATGTGTAACGATGACCGGTCCTGTTGGAACAGGTAATCACCGTCTGGGAATGAACTGCTCGCATATGGCAACAGCACATTGTTCAAAATGTTGCAGTATTGTTCTGACGATAAGTCTCCACGTATACGTTGCAGGGGCCCTAAACCATATCTTGAAACATCATCCCACACGCTCACACTCGATCGCCTACTGGCAGAAACACCTTGCACGTTGTCTGGATCGTTCCTGCGTGGCATTTTGACGTAAACTAATACAATTGCTTTTCAGAGCAAGAAGTTTTCCACACCGTGTGCCTGGCAGTCTTTAAACACGCAATCTTTGGTCTTGTCGCGTCGAAAACGTCAACTCATCCAAAAAGATGACACGACCCCCCTCTTCTGATGTCCATGCTTCGTGCAACACTGTGAACTGCTGTCGTGCGTCCTTGTGTGCCGCTGTTAGTAGTGGCATCTGCGCTGCGACGCGACTCAGAAGGCCCGCAGTACGCAGGTGACGTCGAACAGTGGTGTCCGAAACATCCATATCCAAGTCGTCGCGTATTGCTGGGGCTGGCATGAAAGGGTTACGAACAGCTGCTGCAACTATGAGGGCGTCTTCATCGTCTGTGGTAGCTTTAGGGCGGGGCGCGGGGGGTGCATCCTGAATGCGACCTTCATACTTGTAGGCTTGAATTATCCTGTTCACAGTCTTCAGGGGCCTATTAACCAAAGCGCCAATATACCACTGAGAATAACCTTTCAGGGAAAGATCGACAATTGAGCGCCGTTCATCATCAGGAACCCTAGGCATAATACGATCTGGCGACAGAAAAAACGGCTGCAAAAGATGTTTGGTTGTTTTATATATAGCGTTGCATGCACAACAATTTTGAAGGGAACAAATAGACACGCCCCCATAAATATACAAGTGTTTTTGACTTGTTCTGTTCAAGCACAGATGTTGAAAGAAATCTTAAAATGCAGGATGCATGGGCTTAGAAAAAAAAACGTATATGCGGCTAGCAGACGACGAACAAGTGTATTCATGACGTCATGCGCGCGGTGAAACACTTATTTCGCGGAAGGCGTGATGCGCATGCGCAATGTTTCCAGTGATGACCGTAACGGGGCGCTGACAGTGTCGTCAGCCACGCGCTCGCGCGTTCACCATAACAGTGCGCACCGCTGTACGTACTATTGCGATTCAAAGAAACGCAAACAGCGGAAAGCGTTGCTTTCGACTCAGTCGAACTGCGGTGTGCCTTGGCTGTGACAAGACAGAATTTGTGCTGTAAGCCAGCGTCAACATAGTGTTGGAATCTGGTTCCATCTTACGCCCATGCACCGCATGTGTATCAATTGCCAGTCCTGCCGGGCACTCAGAACACACACGCGGTGCATAAGTACCGCCCAGAACAAGATTTTAAAATGCTACGGTGACGCCGCCCGAAAGCACATGTAGATTCACCTAGTGACAGTCGATGCATGTCGCAGTTCGACCGGGTTGAAGGCCGTGATTTCCTCGCCGTTCACGCATTGCGATAGTAGGCCGTTACAATTGTACTAAACATGCACAGTGCGTGCATCCACGCGTGAGTCGTACTACGTATATCCTAATATTGACATGCGGCCTGCGAAAGAATACGGCATTAGTTTTGTACCTCATACTACTGGCATACTGCACGCAAATCGCTGCTGTAAAATGAAACAGCTGGAGTCACGCTTACATAAACACAATAAGTTTACTACTTACTCGTACACTTCACAGGGCTCGTAGTTTTTCCTGCTGATTGTGACTATATTGTAAGGCAGTGGAGCTCAGCGTTTTTCGTTGTAGACAGAAATCGGTACTCTCACAAAACACCACACTGGCACGATTCCCGCGATGCGCTGTGAACTTCACAGGCAGTGCTCAACAATCTCTTCCTCTTGCGCTAGTTGTTGTCGCATCAGATGACAGCGCAGTGGTACCCAGATGACATTTTATAAGCAGGCGAAGCGTGAACAGGCGCTTTTTCGCATTTGAAACTCCCAAAGCCACTGCATTCCATGCTAGCGAGGTGCGCCTTGGTAGTTGCAAACAAATTATGGCGTCCCTGGGAGCGAGGGTATACCGCCGAAGGCGCCTGGGTTCGAGATAGGCGTGCTCTCGTCTATATCCGCGCGTATGGAGTTTGGGAAGTCTGTCCTTGGGTATATGAGTCGATGAATGTGTATGTACGTGAGGCAATACAAAGTTTCACCACGGTTTCTTCAGTATTGAAAGGAGTGAGGTCAAGCAGAATTCTTTGGTCGCCCCTGCTCAAGCTTTCATGGCATTAGTGTTACAAAAGCCATTGTTAGCGGTGATCGAGTGAGCTGGGTTTGTGTTTGCGTTTTGGCGTAGTGGCACACCGTTCATTCATTTAATTAGTGAGAAATATTAGCTGCGGTGTACATAAAGACTGTGACTGTTTATAACTGTTTAACGCACTGATTTCACAATCAGTTAACCGCCTTTCGGACGAAACTGTGACACTCATGCATGTTTCTAGACACCAGTGTCAGTAAGGAGCAATAATTACTGCAGAGAGTCCTAGTCAAAGATGTTACTTACCGAACAGTATGCCGAAGGCGGCGAAGCGTACGGGAGGTATTACATCGAAGAAGTCCGTTCCCATCGTGTCGAGCCTAGCAATCATTTCTCGAGCTCTTCGATTCATGATGGGTGCGTAGTCATCCAATACTCGGAAGTGGAAGGCTGGTGTGAGCACCTTGCGCCGGCTTCGCCATTTGCCTTTTTCACTGCGATCCATGTAGCCCAAAGAATGGAAACCCCAAACATTCTTTTTCATTATTTCAAGTGTTTGTCATCCTAGCTTTTCACATATTTGACGACCTTCTTGAAGGCATCGAATAAACATTCAAGTGCTCTATTCCCGCACTTTAAAAAAAAAGCGGTGTGTATTGGCAAAAAGCCATAGGAAATGGGTACACGCCAATTATGGAAGACAACCGCGATCGTCTTCTTTCTAAATTGCTTGTATACTTTTGGTGAAACTAAGCTGTAATTGAAAAAAAAAACAGCAACGAAAATTGCGCAACGTCACTACGTACTTGTGTGACCACATTTACATGCATGCAGTCACCACTCATCTCATTTCGACCTTGTTTTCTTCCAGTATGTGTATGAAGGGCAGGTCATCTTGCCTATGTCTTATTTATATATGATAACATTCTGTATGACTTCTTTTTGTGAATTTTCTCCTTTTACGAAAGTGATCATTCTAGTGTGGGTGGTGATGAATACGGGCGCCATCGTATGCAGCCATCACTTGTGCGGCAAGGAAGTTGAACATCCGCGATAGTACCTAACGCCGGTAACAGCACTGACATTACATTTGCGAGTATCTATTGCAGAGACGACGGCTCTGTTTCTACGGTGAAATGCAAAGCGAAAAGTAGGTTTTCTGGCGCGCCTTTCCAAGTACGACAATGAAAATTGAAGGTAGCCTGTGCTTCTGCATGCCACACTATACTGTAGCCCTATATTGTTCGAATAACTGGAAGAGTGCAAATAAAAAATTAACTCAGCACAAGCTGAAAGGTGTCATATCAAATGAAATTGGAGGTGTTCCACTTAATGAACAGAATGTCTTGGAAAATACGTCGAACGTCCTCTCAGTAGACTTACCTTGTGCAACGTTACGAAAACGGGGATATATCAGGGCCGGAGCTTACCGTTACACAGGATCAAGCCAGTATAAATCGTGTAATGTATGACTTCTGTGCTTCTATTGCATCCGTTAGTAACATTTGACAAAAGTAAAACAGTGTGTTTCCGCAGTATTTGGATATATATCCAGAGCAATTCAGCTGCATTTAAATAGACTGATGGGCACACTTCATATGCGTTATTTTTTATCGGTCTATCACACTTAGTCTATATGTGTCTCAGCTGAAGAAAAAAAATGGCCGCTGTTAAGTAATGGGGAGCATCCACGCGTTCATGTTTCAGGTACAGTGAACCTTTTCTCAGTGTCTGCTTTACAACTCTTTTGCTTTGAAACACACACGCCGAAGTAGTCAGGATATAGACCAAGCACAACATATGCACGCTCGGATGCACACACATGAGAGGTAGTTGTTGCATCACTGGCCATATTAGATGTGAAGCAGCTTATGAACGAGAGCTGTACTCTGTCATGCCGTAGCCGCTACTATAGATGCCGATGACAATGATGCTGATGACAATGAAGAACATGCGCGTTTTAGACCACACATTCTCCTTCTGCCATAATGGCACAACGCATGCAAGGCACCCACTATACCCCATGGCGATGGCACTGATGGCCATGAAGGTATGTAGATGGCGATCACGGACAACGACTGACTTGTGCAGTAGATAACGTCTCGGTATACTCTACGACGCATTTCGTATGACTGGAAACAACCAACAACCACCACGAAATGCGCACAGACCTCGTCTTTGCAAACTTCAGACCAGATCCGATATGACAAAGCAGTAATAATGAAAGCAAAACGAAATGCACAACTTGGCACAACCAAGCCAGTTACAACCAATAAACATATGGTATGACTGTACACTGCTTGGCACTCAGTTACATGCTTAAGTCATCTATGTCACGGGTGATCTACGGCAACACCCAACGATCCCACTGCTTTGCCCACTCATCATTATTAACGTCGGGGATATGCCTCGATTGATTTTTTTGAAAACACGAAGTCTTACCTAATCATCACGATATATTCTAGCATCACGGCAACGCTAAAAATGGGACTCTGTTCCACATCGCGGTCAATACAAGCACCCAGTAAACGTAATAAGACCGCCTCTCTGTAAACAATTATAGAAAGGGTGCAACATTGTACTTCAGTGATTGTCGAGTTACTTTGATATCTTCCTAACGATCGTGCAACTGACCTTAGCAGCTGAAGGAATTTGTTCACCGTGCAACTGAAACTGCATGCTTGAGGGAGAAAATTTTCAGACGATTCCGCTCGGCGGACACCAAAGAAACAGCGAGGCTGGTGGCATGCAGTGAGGTTGGATGAAGTTGGAATGAAGTGGGTGACTGAAGTTGGAGGCGGCAGGAGTAGTGGACGTAGTGGCGAGTTGTGCAAGTAGTGAGAGGTGGGAGGAGTGGCACAAATTGGTAGTGGTATTTGTACACTTTCTGAGAGTGAATGCCACTACGATATACGATTGATGGTATGCTGTGAAATTGAATTGTATGTAATGAAGTACCACTTGTATTTGCTTAACAACGACATGCATAGCCCTTGCCATGCAGACACTTAATTTGCAAATAATTTTATTTCATCGCTTTCTGCTGATCGTCACATTACGAATTTATTTACTATTCATTCGAATATGTTTTGTGATTGCACAATTGCTCGGAACAATGCTGTACTTCCTATGGCAATGCCCATCCTTTCATACTAAGCGCTATCCTTTTTATTTTCTTGACAAATCGTTGTGAAAGACAATGTATGGGGCCTCCACTTAAGCGCTCTTGTGTGCATAAAATAATGCCACAGAAAGCCTCGCAGATCTTTTTGAAGGTGTCTATTCTATACAAATGCATCACACTCTTAGTGAACATCATTGTGCGAGCTTGTTAACAACGGTTGCGTCTTTAGTATTTTTTGCCTTTTCTCTTCTTGTTTATTTTTACCGCTCCCCAAGTGTAGAGCAGCCGATCGGTCACAGCCTTCTCATATATTCCATGTATATGACTTTATTTTTTCATGGTCTAGAAATATACATTATCATAGTGAGTTTTCGTCCAAGCACTCCTTACGTATTAATAACACAACAGCGAATGTAACAAAAGTGCCCCAGAAAATTCAAGCAATGCAAAATGAACAATGGGCAGTCAGGCTAAACTTGATGTTTGTGAATGGTTAGCTAGTTCAGACATCATCCTATAAAAAAGAATCAGTTCTTTTATCTTCTGTGGCTAGAACAAGGACTTGAACTACTATTAGTACAAATGTTGGTGTTACGAACAAAGTAAGCATATTTTTTTGTGTTCTCCTGAATGTCGCTTCGTTGTAGAAAAAAAGCTTAAACTTTGATTGATGATGATTGATTGATATGTGGGGTTTAACGTGCCAAAACTACCAAATGATTATGAGAGACGTCGTAATAGAGGGCTCCGGAAATTTCGACCAACTGGGGGTCTTTGACGTGCACCGACGAGCACACGGGCCTACAACATTTCCGCCTTCATCGGAAATGCAGCCGCCGCAGGCGGGATTTGATCCCACGGCTTAAATGTAACTGATAAATAACTGGGGCCAAAAAGTGACTAGCATTTCAGTCGATACACTGTGTAGGGGACGGAAAAAATGATGGTATGTGTGGAAGTGTGACAAAAGTGAGGAGAGTAACTTACATCATCAGTATGCCATTCCCAATCCACGGTTTCATCATTTCGTACAAAAATGCCTTGTTCAAGTTCTGGCTATTGGTAAGAACGGACTGGAAAAAATGTAAGTTTTACACTTGCATTACTGCCATTGCCAACGGAAATAATAATGAAAAAAGAATCACCACAGGCTTTACTTACTTCGACGGATTTTGGCGTCGTAGCGATCAAGAAGGGCTGTGGACCGTAATAAGCAACTGTAACTTCCTGGTCATATAGTGTCTTGAACATTTCATTGAAATAGTTGAATATTTCTGCGAATAGAACACATTGAAGAAATAACATCAGCAGGCACGCATTCTTTAAGGAAACTCTTACACGCAGGCACATCGAAGTTAAGAAAAAAACCTTCCGAATTAGTAAATAAACAGCGTGATTGTGCTCACGCGCTATCATACAACAGTGTTTTCAACCATGCTTAAACAGAAGCAAACTGCTCGTAGAGTGTCAACCTATGAATTATCAGAGATGATAGATAGAGCTACGTCGTCGTGTGTGGCCGTCGGATCTGCTGACGGACTGGGAAGCCAATTCTAATAGAGTCATGACCACTTCTTTTGCCGACGTAGCGCAAGAGTACTCAAACATACCATGGGCTCTTTTTGAGTGAGCTTTAACAACGAAGCTGTTTAAGCGGGTCGTAAGTGCTTTAATGTGTACAGATGTGTACAAAACTATTATCATACCGAACGGGCATGTGCCACGGTAATTGGGCAAATGCCACAATTCACCACTTGTCCACTAAAAATGAAGACAGTGAGGAACGGGCGGCCAACATCAATACAAATTTCTAGACAGACGTAAGCGATAATTGAGAAGACGTTTATTGAACTATCGGGATTAATCAAGTAACCACGCGTGGCTGCTTCACTGCTGCATGTATAAGTACAACGAAAAAATACCAGGGAACGGGAAAGGCAACGGTGGCTGCCAGTAGACCCCGAAGTGATGGAAGCCTTAGACCAACGACGACGGGCCCGTAGATCAATGAGAAGTGCGAACGCTAGATTTCAGTGCAAGTTTTTGTCTGCAAAGTTTGTTCATCAGTGCCGTGTCTGTGGCTGTCTGTGTCTATACTGGAATGTCTTTGCGCTGAGACGCAACCAAAAAACAGACTAGTATGACCTAGCAACCGTCACGAAGCCATAGCATCAGCTACCTAAAACCTAGCAACAATGTAGAGGCAACCAAATCGGACTTTATAATTGTACAGATTCGCTGTTTCAAGCCTTGCGCTACTCAGTGCACGCTTCGTACTTTTGTAAACAGCGAAACTGGTATAGGTCGTTGTATCTTGTGAGGTTTTGCAAAACATCAGGGATGGGTATGCGCAACAAGAGTTGGACCAGCCACTACAAAGCAATGTAGCTGGATGCGAGCGTTAAACGAAAGCTCTGCTGGGTGAAGTGGCGCATGTAAAACACGGCAAAGAGAGAGAGAGAGAGAAAAAAGATAGAAGGAAAAAAAAATAAAGAGAAATAAAGCGATAGAAAGACAGATAGAGAAAAAAGAAAAAAAAGTCCCAGAAACAAGAAGACACAGGCGAGCACCGTGACTCTTTGCTTGCTCAAAATCATGAACCAGCGAGCTCGCATCAGAGTCGTGCTATGGCACTGCAATCACGCGTCGGGCCGACACAGTAAGCTTCAATTGCATTGCGGGACCTTTTGCCTTCTCCGTGCAAACAACTCGCAAAGAAAAGCTAGCTCAGTCGTTGGCTACGCACCAATGACATAAATAGCCGATGTTGTGTTACGTTAGTGACGGGGGCATAGTCACGGTGATGGCCTATGCCTACACTGATTCGCGGCGGAGAATGATGAAGAAAGAGGCCGATTCAGAGCCCGAAAAGAACAGAGGCGACCTCGAAAGGTTTGTTCGTCCCCCGTAACCCCCTTATAAAATCACGTATTCACAAAATTCTTGCGGCCTCACGGTCATATAGTACAATTACGCAGTTGTCTCTTCATCACAAATTTTGGACTTTGTAGTTACAGTTTTTTTTTGCCTTATTTGCCACCATGAGATATCGCGTTGAGTTGCCTTGTGCAGGCTGTCTCAAACTTCAATCAAAGTTCTGCCAGAATTTTAGGGCACTCAGAGTGTCCTGCTGAGTGTGAAACAGTTTGTACAGCACTCACAGGTTCTAACACCACATTACAAATCTCAGTATAACAACTTGTATGCGCGATTTCTCGAAATAACCACGTCATTTTGTGGCGAATGCAGAATCTGAAGATGATTTCGGCTCCGATCTACTCGTTCGAATTAGCATCACGCCAACATGTACGAAAATGAAGACGGTAGAACAACAGCAACAACAAAACATGTTCCTTATATTCAACCCTAAGTTGTCCTATTTGAATACGTGGTTACTGTACGTACATACACATAAAAAAGAACTGGGCATCAAGAAAGATATAGTTAGGGTCGGGATATGTTTTGGATTTTACATTACAAGAGCACTCTACACATTTTCTTTCAATGTGTGCGCACTTAAGAAGTCGTACGTTCTTTGCTGTGTTTAAGCGAAGCTTAGTCATGTGATTTTATGGAGCGGACAATAACCTCTTAAAGGAAAACTCTGGCGTTTTTTTTTGACATTCACTGATTTCAATAAAACTTCGACTATGTGTTCTCGTCGCTACCATGGTGTTATGCTATATAAACGTAAGTGACTTAGTTAAAACAAAACAAATTTCAAAATTGGTCGCTGATTCTGGAACCACACTTGGAAACGCGGGCCACCCTGTGTATGTGACGTAAGGGACTACGCTTTTTCAAAAACCCCGCCTTTTTAGCTGACGGATGGAGCGTGCGCTTTCTTCTACGGGGCGACGAAAACGCAAGAACAGCTCAGTTTTGTCAGCTGCATACAGCGTATTAATCATCGTTGACGTCGGATCTTACAATATTGAGCAACAAAGAAATCGATTCGGGGCATGTGTAAAATGCTTCACGCACCGGTGGGTCGAAATAAAAAAGCGATGCTTCCGCCCTCAGATAGTAGCTGCAATCATCGTTGAACTTGTCGCTGGTAAGTTCAGAGGAGCTAGCAGAGGCTGACTCCGCGTCGAATGACATGGCCAACTTGCTTTTCGCGCTATGTTTACACCCTGGACAGCCATGGTGGAGTGTAGCGGATCTCGTGACGTCATCCGGTACCCACCATGGATGACGGAGCAACTTCCTGTTTCGGGTATTGTTGACTTTGGCTTGTTTTCGACTGGAGGATTTTGCCAATTTATTTTGTATTGAGTGTACGGTTTTGTCATTAATTAACCAGTATAGATCATAAGTATTCTTAAAACTAAACTGAACTAGATGTGCTCCGCGTTACTGTCAAATATAGGGCAGTTTCAGTTCCTGGGTCTGATTCATACAGGGAAAAAAACAAAACCCTGAAATATACTGAAGCATTCATATTGTTCAATAAAACCAGTTCGCCATCATCAGCGAAAGTATCGTCCCTGCCGCCATGAAGTGAACGCGGCAAAAGATCGGCGCAGAAACTTTGAACTTTCAAAATTTTCATGCGGGGCGTAGTATTCTAGTTTTTTTGTGGCCTTATAAATATTTGTTGACTCTGACAGCCCCCTTGGAATGAACGATGGGAAAAACACGAGATCTATCACCACAATTGGAGGTAATTATGTCCTAAAATAATGCGTACGTTGTGATGGATGTGAGTCGCAAGGCCGTTTCAATGTCCTAAATTGTGCAGTAGCAAAACTTACAGCCGCCGAAGTGCGCGGGGTTTTCCTGTAACGTGAGCAGAAACACGTGAGACGCCATTTGTTTGAGTGACACGTCGATGTGTCCTCTTGTTCTCGCATTAGTAGTGCTGGTAAAAAAGTGAGAACCTGCAAATGTGCAGGTCTGTGCTCAGATATAAAATAGTGAGAACCGCGAAGTAGTACGACGTAGGTTTACTTGCCTTCCAGAGATACGGGCCAACTACAGACTGCAGTGGCCAAATAGCGGTACTTACCTAAAGCTAGCCAGAGCGTTTCGTTCAAATTTCGGTGGAGGTATGACGTCAGATGTGACGTTTCTGCTCTGGTCACGTCATCGTCCTGTATGTGATGGTGACCAGAATTTCCAGTTCTGCGCACTTTAGGGTATGTAAACACCGGAGTCGTAACGGGGAGATTTGCGCAGCTCAATATCGCGTCAAAAGTGTGTGCAGTCGTGGATAGCCGATGCTAAACGCACAAAATCTCATTGAGTTTTTTCAAACATCGGGTTGCCCAGCGTTTCTGCGACTCTTGTTCAGACGTTCTGCCTCTACTCTAATTCTTTTGACCTCCTCCTGTTGTTGTATTCCACTTTTCGATTCCACATCGTCGCGATCCAAACTATGTTGTTCAAGTTTGCTGACTCTTTCACGCCTGCCCAAGTAGCCGAACAGGTAACGTGGGAAGGCACGCGTATTTGATTGATTGATTGATTGATTGATTCTTTTGAGATGCGAGAATGTTCACGAGCTTTTGAAGAGAGCCTGAAACACTTCCAAGTAATTATCGAACTAGTTTTTGTTCCTTCATGAATTGAGTGCCGCACGAATTTTTCGAATCGGTCAAAAACAAGCGGAGAAACTAAAATATGTTGCTTGCTTTAAGGAGCCCGGCAACACTTGCTCTTGTAACTATCGAATGGTTTCCCCACGGGAGATTATGGTCTTATGAATACATTGCCACAGAATGTAAAGAAATAAAAAGTTTATGTAATCCAAAGCCTGAGACGTTATTTCTATAGCCATAGTAGGAATCACATGCATAGGCGTAACATTATAGGTTTTTTGACAAAAAAGAGAAAAGAACGGTACAAAAACTAAACGAACACAACTCCTCAAGCCAGAGTTTTGCGTCTATTGGAAGAATACTGTGTACAAATCATCCGACATCAGTTAACAAATTGGGCTAGTGAGAAAGCCAAAACTTGAAGGCCGTATTACCTGAACAGCTTTGCCTGTATACTCGGGAAAGTAGGCGATCAGGTTTACGGTTTACATGGTCTTTCGTAGTGTAAAATTGAGCGTGCAGCATAGAACAATGTCGCGGGAAAAGCTCAGAGTGTCCCCATACTGCTTTCTTGTATAATGCATCGTTCGTTTGGAGAATAACAACATATACGACAAACACCAGCAACGTGGCACCACGGTGTACTTTTGCCAGAGCAGGCACAGATTATGGGGACAGCGAAGTACTGAACGCAGCATTTATGCATAGCACTAATGAACAGAGATAACTGCTATGTGAGAGAAATACTTAGAGGTGAGCGACAGTTGATCACACCGCGCGGAACTTCCCCAGAACAGCTGCATAGAAATCAGGTTTTAACACTCTAAGTTGATGGGCGTTGGTCCTGCCATGAGCAGCATTGCTCAGTTATGTTCACCAAGCATTCGCTAACTACGTCAACCAGAACCGATATCGATATTCAATTGAACTTTCTATTTTTTCTACCGGAAACACCGCCTGCTTCAAATCTGAGCAACAGCGGACACCGACACAATATTAGCGGCGATTTAAAAAAAAAAATTACTTCGTGCAAAATGTTAGGATGTGTGCTACCACACCACACTATTTACAGTGTACACATACAATTGATTGATATGTGGGGTTTAACGTCCCAAAAGCACCATATGATTATGAGAGATGCCGTAGTGGAGGACTCTCGAAATTTCGACCACCTGGAGTTTTTTAACGTGCACCAAAATCCAAGCACACGGGCCTACATTTCCGCCTCCATCAAAAATGCAGCCGCTGCAGCCGGGATTTGATCCCGCGACCTGCGGGTCAGCAGCCGACTACATTAGTATCCCGGCTGCGGCGGCTGCATTTCCGATGGAGGCGGAAATGCTGTAGGCCCGTGTGCTCAGATTTGGGTGCACTTTAAAGAACCCCAGGTGGTCGAAATTTCTGGAGCCCTCTACTACGGCGTCTCTCATAATCATATAGTGGTTTTGGGACGTTAAACCCTACAAAATCAATCAAGCCGACTACATTAGCCACTAGACCACCGTGGCGGGTCGTGTACACATCTAACAAATGTTTAATGTGGCTGGTGGTGTTTACAAGAAGAAACGAGCGTGAATGACAGAAGAGATATATTGAAAAATAATATTAGTATATATGAACGAGGTTTTGAAGGGCGGCCGAATGTGCAGGACAGCTCGTCTCGTTATATGTACTTTATTTGCACTAACTTATTAAAACACAAAGAAGAAAGAAACAAAAAACAACCATTTCTTGAAGTAAACACTAATTCTTTATTCGCTTTCTTGAAGCAGTAATTTGTCACTGTAATCAAATATTTTTTTGAAGGAACTAACTTTAACTACTTGCTTCTTTTCATGAAACCTTTGGTGTTTAGTAATCTGAGTAGAACGGTAGAGATGTGTCGAGTTAAAGCGCTTGCTAAGCAAATATTGAACGTTAAAGCCCATAACGTGCGCCTTCTTCATACGAAAGAGCATGGAGGTAATCCACTAACAATTTTCTGAATAGAACGTAACCTGTTAAGTTGGTCGTCGAGGGAGCACGCAGTTGAACTTTCAGTTTTAGCCTCATCGTGAGTGGTATCTGGAAAGGGATATTGAATGCAACATTGCTTATCTAAGCCAGTTTACGGCGTTTACATGCGCGTTTCATAGCTTTGATGATACTGAGCTGCTGATCCTGAGCTACACAAATGACAATTTGACTTTCATTTGCTCGAGTAACAATAGTAAACTTTTTTAGTGGAATGAATGAACGAATCACTTATTGTGAAGCAATAATTTACTGGTATGAACATCATTCATATTATTATTTCAGGTGCTTGCTTACCGAAGTCGCGATCAAGACACGCTGGTTTAACCTGTATAGGTGGCTTGTGCGAGATGACATGCTACGCTCGGCGGTTGGTATGCCGAGTGGCAGCATGCACGACTGTTCTCTTTTTGCTGAGAGTGCGACAGGCTTGAGGATATGACTGTGTGTTTGCGAGATCCTCTGCTGACTCATGATTTACTGCGCAGAACAACTTAGACAAGCTTGCGAAAAGAAAGAACAGGTTGAGTGCTGTGATGACTCACGGTAGCCTACAAGAAAACTTGACAAGCCGCTGGCTTTACCCTGAGTCATCCTTCTCTCGTTTAAAGGATGTTAAAATTTGAAGTGGTGATGCTATAGAAGAATGCGCAATACTTTAGGCTCACGTCGTTAGTCCTGCACCAATAGGCTGAGCTGACATAGGCCATTCATGGAACGCATCTAAGTCGGTATTTCTCCATTGTACTTGGTGCGAGAAAAAGATACCGAATAAATCAATCGAACAAGAATAGACCACCAATATTTAAACTCCTACAATAATTACTTGAGGCTTTATTAGGAATAGTGGATATCAGTTCTGAATAAGCGAAACTTAAGCTTACCTTATAGTAGCTGGAATGTGGCTGGCGTAAATATCAGAGGCTCGATTTCCCAAAACACCAAACGATAGTACTATAAGACCAAATTCCATCTGATCTTAACACAAAGCATATCGTTAGTGAAGGTAGCCAGCCAAACGCAAATAGCCCTTAGGAAAGAAGGAAGTAATGAAACAAAAAGACAGAAGGATGGGGGGGGGGCGATTAAGCACAGACATGTTTGGTTGGCTACCATACGCTGGGTCATAGGTAAGAAGGATATAAAAGAGGACAAAAAGAAATCTGACGAAGATGCTCGCAGAGGACACAATCGCTTGCACTTTGAAAGACGTATACCAGCGATTGTGACTGCGTCTTTTTGCGTGTGCCGAATTGTGTCCCTTGAGCCTACTACTTCATCAAAAATGGCTCTTGAACCAAATCCTTAGTACGTAATAAAAGAGAAAGAATACCTTTTAATCGCACCCCAGAGCTCTACGTCACGCAAATTACTGAAGAAAAATTGGAAATAGCTCTGTGTATTTATTGCAAGAACGTTCTGGGAAGATTTTCTTTCTGCGTGGCTTGCGTGCCTCAAACAGTGATTTTTGTCACCTGTATCGCCTTGTACAATTCGCAATGAATAGAGAAAGACTTGGGAGGTAAATTAAAACAAGACGCGGCTCTTATCTCGTTGCTCAGTAATTTATTCTAGGCCTTGTTCTACGCCCACTCAGCAGAAGATGATTTATTTGTACACACTTCTCGCGAAATGAGAACATACTCATTGATATGACACCCTAAGTATAAGTACAGTTCAGTTAATTTTTCGACCAGTGTAGAGTCACAAATTTCATCAGGAGTTTACATTAGAAATTACGAGCGAAACACTCCTGCAAGGTTAGATGCGTCGAGCGCACATCACAAGAGAACGCGTCAAATTGCGTCTGCGGGCTGTGCAACTTGACGCGTTCTCCAGGCGAATTGTCGTTTCTTACTTGCTGTCACTGCCAGATTCGGGTCCATTTTCGACAGGCTCTGCCACATGTCGATGACGAGTGAGAATGGCCAGCGTTGCTCGGGATGGGGTACATTGCGCAGGTACCAGTACATGCGCATCCACCTGGCCACGGCCACGACGATTCTTGCGAGAAGAGCAGCGACCAGTACTGCCAGCACCACTGTCGCTTTCGGTGGGGAACCCATTGTGGTGGTCATCTTCTCGTCTGCCGACATGGCGGATCCAGCGTTCGTGGCTCCTGTTCTTGTCGGGACCGAAGCAGTTTACTCTGTCGCAGTGTCTGCGTAGGCGTGAAACACTCGTTTTTTTTTTTGTGACGCGCATACACCGAGCGACGCTACGTCGTCTTTCGTTACGCGAAGCACCTTCTCCCCGAGACAAACAATGAAAGCCGCACAGGGCGATGGTAAGGCGAGGAGAAGAGACAATGGTGACTGTGCGGTTGCCTTATAGGTGTGAAGAGGAAAGCATTTTGGAAGAAAAATGTATGCACCCTCAATCTTGAGTGATTCATCCAAAACAAGGTTCGTTCCTAAAAGTGGCTCTCGTACTAATTCGCTCCACTGAGCCCCGTTAAGAGGATCACTGGCGTACCGGGTGAGTCGTCTTACTTCGCGGAGCATTGTCCTTCGATTTTTGCTTTGACGTCTCTATGACTTGTCACAGACCTATAGCGGTTGCTGCAAATACCCGTTTTTCAGAAAATAAGGAACTTCTGTACGCAATCAAGGGTAGTCACGAAACACTTGTGCTACAGTTTGACCTCCACATTGACTAGGTATAGTCGATATATTATTACATGAGTTCATAGGTAAAAAAAGGGCTTGCTCAGACTTACTTAACGAGTATATTTTGCTCTTAGGGCTCACTCGAACCGAGACTCACCAAAATGTTAATTATCGAGACGCATTCGCACTCAGACTCATCAATTTTTTCTCAACCGGACTCACTTGGACTCATACTCGTCAGCATATTACTCATTCGGCCTCACTCAGAGTCAGACTTGCGGTTGGATGTGAGTACGCCACACTGAACTAACTCATAAGTGCCTTAGAGAGAAATTGGCTTTTTGATTATTCTGTCAATGATCCTACGTGGGGCATTTTGTTTGGTACCTTCAAAGCAGTGGCTACAGCCCAATAACGAGATTTCATAATGAAGCAACTCACTCGAAACAATTTTATCATGAACTTCCAGTAGAAGAGTTTGTGAGGAAAGGTCAAGGCCACCACCCCTACTTACACCTCTGATCAGTAAAATTGAGATGGCGTATGAACGCTGGTGCATTGAAACACGCGTAGGTAGACGTGGGTATAAACGTGAGCCTATATAAAGCTCGCAGTAAAGCTGAATATGAAGAGATAAGACTATGTGTTGACATAAAAAAGCGGAGCTCAATCATATTCACTCCAGATATATATTTAGCGCTTATGTATCACTTGGACTTAAACTCACCAATGTTTTTCTCAACCGCACTTAATATCACCACAATATTACCCAGCCAGACTCACGGCCTGTCCTGAGTCTGAATGAGTAGTGGTGAGTCTACTCATGAGTGAATTTGTCGACCTATGCACGAGTGACATGTGTTTTCTTTGAATGAAGAAAGGGAAATTTTTTCGTGCGGGTTGTGTATTTGTTGAAATAAACCGAACAAAAAACATCCGACCATTAGGTCAAAGAAAACGCAGAGAAATAATTGTTGCCTAATTTTAGTCACACCTTTAAAAGTAGTCATTTTATTGGAAACAGAGGGCTTGAACGCAACCTTTTAATCGCACTGTATCTTGCGGTCTAGAATGTTTAGTGTGGTTTGCTGAATTATTTGGATCTTTTTTTATACGGCCATATGACAAGGCTGTTGCCTGGCAATAATATATCTGCATTCACTATAGTTTTAAGTGAAACATAATTGAGGGTACATCATACCGTACATAGGCGAGAATAGTGAGCGTACTGAGCTATTTCTTGAGCTTTAACTAATATAGAATAAAAAAAGCAACTGCCATAAGCACGTTAGCTTTCTTTCGTTATAACGATCTTCTTACGAGTACCTGAATAGAAACGAATTTAAGACAGAATTTTCACTTGCAGCCAATAATGAGTGAATACTTGGAAATGTGTGCTCCTATGGTTTATTTTGTCCATGACTTAATCACTTCGCCTTTGAAATATAATGTTTAGTTAGTCGATCGACCTATAGAAAAGGTTGCTCCATGTATTTCAGTGAGTGTTTTTTAAAAATGTAACCCTCCATACTTCATATGCATGACAGCGCAAACACGTAGCAAAAAAAACTGAAAAAGCACAGGAGAAAGTGCTCAATTCAACTTTGTAAAAGTGAGCATTCTCTCCGTGTTTGTGCAGTCACACCTATTGTGTCATACCTAGTTCATACCGCTTCCTAACTGAATCTTATCGAAAACTTCCGATACTGCTTTTGGCGACTTCAATTTCCCAGCAATACGTGTGACTAACCTAGCATGTGTGGCTTCCGAAAACAGTACACAGAGCGATTGCGTCAATTCATGTCTAACGTTTGGACTTACGCAATTAGTCAATGAACCTACGCGCGACAGTGATAACTCCCTTCATATTCTGGACCTTGTTCTCACTTCTGAGCCTGAAAGAGTGTCCCAGATGACGTTAGTACCAGGACTCAGTGATCACTTAGTAATCCAGGCGTCCTATTCTTGTAAACTACACCATTCAACAAAAACAACAAAATATATAACACTGTATGATAAAGGCGAATATTCCGCTATAAAGTCAGACCTCGAGCAACTGGCTGCTTTCTTTCTTATCGACCTTTCAAAGCGTTCGGTTGAAGCTAATTGGCTGCTATTCAAAAAGAAAATGTTAGATATATTCACAAGGCATGTGCCCACGATTACCGTAACCGAGAAAAAGTCATCCCCGTGGTTTAACATCACACTGAAGCGCCTAAATAACAAAAAAAACGACTCTTTCAATTGGCAAAGCGGTCCAATAGCGCATGTGCGTGAAGTAGGTACTACGTTGCAGAAATAGAATTTGATAAACTTGCTAACAAAAAACCTTTATTTTTTTCACAAACATTGCCCGCTATGTCAAGCAACAGCCCCCAAATTTTCTGGCACACAAATAACCCCAGTACCTTCCAACCATTAGTACAGCACAACGATCAAAACCATCCAATTTCCGATCACGAGGCCACCGAACAACTTAACAGCTTTTTTTCTTCCATGTTTACCGTTGGACCTGTCGATAACTTGCCTTCATTTCTTAATATCAACCATAGCAAGATGCCGGACATCACATTCTGCTCAAACGGCATCGCAAAACTAATCAACTCACTGAAACTCACATCTTCATGCGGCATGGATGGTATCAACGCGAAAATGCCCAAAAACATGAAATCAATTGCTAGTACACTACTCTGTCATATCTTTCAGCAGTCACTATCATCAGGAGTGGTGCCGGAAGACTGGAGAGTGGACAAAATTGTTCCATTGCCCAAGAAAAGTCCTTCGTCTCTTTGCAGCAGTTATCGCCCCATTCCCCTTACTAGCGGTTCCTCCAAACTAATGTAGCATGTAATTTACTCTAACATCATCAAGTTCTTAGCCAGCAATAACTATTTTCATTCCAGTCGGCACGGCTTTCGCTCAGGATTTTCATGTGACACACAACTAGCTTCGATTTATCATGATATCAGTTCCAGCCTCGACATAAATATTACCCATTGACGCCCTCTTCTTAGACTTTGAAAAAGCATTCGATAAAGTCCCGCATCAACGGCTACTACTAAAACTTTCTCGTCTAAACAATATTACAAATGTATCGGATTGGATTCGCAGTTTTTTTACCAATCGCTAACAATTTGTGCATGCTAGCTCCGTCTCATGTAGCTGTTTCTCTGTAATCTCTGGTGTGCCGCAAGTTACAGTGCTGGGACCATTACTTTTTCTCATTTACATCAATGACCTTCCATCAAACATCTCTTCAAGCATTCACTTCTTTGCACACGACTGCGTCGTATACCGTCTCATAGCAAACAGCGCAGACACTAAAACATTTCAAAACGACCTCAATCTAATTGTATCGTGGTATGATAAGCGGTTAATGTCTTTAAACATAAAGAAAACTTCATTGGTATCTTTTCATCGCAGGCCCCATCACCAGTAAGCAGAATACACCATTTCCGGCTCTGCAGTCTCACCCGCTGAATCTTACAAATATCTTGGTGTCACATTTTCATGTAACATTTCCTGGTCAGCCCACATGACTAGCATAGCCAACTCCGCGAATAGCACTCTAGGTTTTCTACGTAGACACTTAAGACTTGCACCCCCATCAGTTAAACTACTATCATATGTCACACTTGTTCGTACAAAATTAGAGTATGCATGCTCTGTCTGGGATCCCTACCAATCTCACTTATCAAACATTCTCGAATCGATTCAAAATTGTGCTGCGCGTTTTATCTACTCCGAATATACCTACAATTCAAGTGTTTCCAAAATTAAAACTCGTGCGCACCTTTCTAATCTAGAGTTACGACGTCACATATCTCGACTATCTCTCTTTCACAAATTTTATCATGCCCCCATCGAAGTTCCAGCCATCCTGCCGGTCCATTGGTCATCAAGCCGCACAAACCATTCAATTGCAGTGGATCCTCCACCAGCCCAAAGCACCGCACATCTTCGCTCTTTTTTTTTTTGTGACAACCACACGAGACTGGAATTGTCTGCCTGCAACTACCGTGCACCACTCCGACCCGCATCAATTCAAGATTTCCCCTCGAATCACTTTTTTATGCTGTAATTAATACCCATCCCTCATGTAATACGCCAGCTGGGGCCTTTGAGGTATTCAAAAATAAATGATAAAATAATACCTACACCTGATTGAGTTTGGGCTGTCACACTTATGAAGTATGCTTCACAAACTAAAGCCTGCAAGTGAACGTTACTGTATCCCTACATACATTTTCTTCTCTGTTACAGCACTATCTCTGATGCATTAGATCACTATTCTATAGCAGCTCTGATGTGTGCCTCTAGCATAGCGTCGGCATAAGTTTACAGAAGCCGAATTGATTTGTGGAGGTTTATAAAATCTAAAAAAAACGGCGAATAGGTTTTGCTAGGTCTTAGCTGAAGTCCTACTAAATGAATGTCCTACTAAATGAATGTCGACAGTTTTACCTCCTAGCCACGTAGACTTTTTTTGTTTTTCTCGCTCAGGACATTTATTTCAAGCACAAGCGAGTTTCGCGTTTGTACTTGAACGAGA